CGAACGAACTAACGAACTAACGAACTAACTAACTAACGAACTAACTAACTAACAACTAACTAACTAACTAACTAACTAACTAACTAACTAACTAACTAACTAACTAACGAACTAACTAACTAACTAAACTTCATGTTTCTCAGTGCTAAATAAAAATATTTACAAAAACAAAATACATTATTTTCTAATTTTATCCCATTTTTGTAAAATTTAAGTTCGATCTAATATACCAAAAAGAAAAGTAAATGATAATAATTAGATAGAATAAAAATGTATAAAAAGGACACTAACAAGATTATTTAAGACAGAATTATTTTTGCTCTCAAAATTTAAAAGAAAAAGTGTTTGTATATTTCAGTAAATATATTAAGTTTATAGTGATCAGTTGTGTGAATAGTAACTAGGGATGCCAAACGGGAATTCCCGATTCCCGAAAATCCCGGGATTTTCGGGATTTGAAAGTACCGAAAACCGGGATTTTAAAAAATGAAATACCGGGAAATTTGGGGATTTTAAAATCCCGAATTTTTAAGTGTTTTTTCCGCTATTTTATACATTATAAACTATTAAATAAGAGAATTTTAAAAGTTTTTGGACTTAAGATGACTATACTAACTTACAAGCTGAAATATCAAAAATAAAAAGGGCAACAAATAGGCATAGATACTATCGGATATATAAAAATAACAAGTAAGAAATTATTGGCGGGCGAGGACGACCATATAACCCCCTGCACCAGTTATGAGAGTAAAATGTGATTTAGTTTTCATAATAAATCATTTAAGTTGATTTATACCTCGCCTCCGATATATTTTAGCAATTTATTGTTAAAAAACTATTTTCTGAAATATGCTTGGGGGAAGCCTTCACATGAGTCGATCCTCATAAAATTTGGAGGACGAATTTACGGTTACATAAAATTTATTTATGCTGAATTTCATTACGGCACTTCTCTTTTTAAGCGAAATGTGGACACTAGGCTAGGATGAGAAGAAGCCCGATAATTTCAAAATTCATCAGGGTATTTAAGGACAGTATAAAACAAAAGCAATACTCCGAAGATGCCCAATATACCTTCCCCACTAAGGTGGTATAGGGTATAAAAAGGGCAATAATCGGATATCTAATGGGTGTATTAGAATCTATAATGGAAGTCAACCTGTCAATAAGATGGCGAGATGATAATTCCCTTATTTGGGTTAGAGAACACGGCAAAAGCTGGAATTACTATGGAATTACTATTTCTCTACTGACCATTAAAAACCATATATCCTATATTCATCTCAAAACGAATGGTCTCATGAGTACATAGGTGCAGTACAGGAGCTCTATGTAGCCTCGTATGGATCCTCATTACGCATACTATCTAAATATTAGATTTCATCAAATTGTAAATTTGGAAACCATTGTAAATTTGGATATCATGGGTATTATTTTATATTTATAAGATATAAGAAGCTTTTGCTCAAAAGTAGGTTTTTATTCTACTATTCAGTACCTGGGATGGAAAGATTTTTATTATAAGTACTTTGAATTAATTTGTTTTTCTTTTCACAAAATGCTTATTGGAAAGTAAACACCTACTAAGTGTATTCATATTGTAATATGAAATAGAAAATGTTATTTTTGTCGGTAAATTATTAAGATTTTTTTAATTTTTTTTTATATTTTTCGGGATTTTGAAATCCCGAAAATCCCGGGATCCCGATATCGGGATTCCGGGATTTATTTAAAAATCCCGAATCCCGGGATTTCTAAATATCAGTCCCGATTGGCATCCCTAATAGTAACACACTGTGAAATTTTGTAATGATTTTATTTAAAATTTAATATATAAAAAATAAATTTAATATATAATAAACATAAGTGAGAGATTAGTGAGTATAAACAATTTTAAATTATTCATAAAGAGAAATAAAGAAAATGTATTATAAAGTCGCTTTTACTACATAAAATAGTGTAAAATTAGATAAATTTCCAGTTTCCCTATTGCTATGGCAAAACTGGAAATTTTACTAGTTTTACGCACTTTTATGCTATAAAAAAGTGACTTAAAACTGAAACGAAATCGACTCACTAAGTAAGTATTAAACAGGAGGAACAGTTTCTTACCAACGCGGTCACTTTTCTTCCTTTCAAATTGTGCAATATTAGCTGTTATTTAGATATTTTTACCTACACGTTGTTACGTTATTGGTACTATTTAGATAGCAATTGTTTGCAGGGGTTATTTTCAAATAATCTGTTCAACTGTGTTGCATGTATAAATGTAAAATAGAGTTAAACGTTACGGATAAATGTTTACCTACGAGTTTGACACCTTTTAACATTAATCTATATTTAAAAATAAATATTAATTTTTCCACAAATTGTAATTGTCTAACAGTAAGTATGTATTTGATATAATATTCTACAAGTCACTCACTGACGTAGCGCTTAAAGTTTTTTCTATTGCATTAAAAAAACTGGGGAATAATTTATTGTGGCACCTTTTAATTACATTCGATATCAATCGATTATTGAGTAATTTATGACTTAATACAACTATAGCATTAAATATTTTCTTGAAAATTAAACAAAAACTACGAAATAACTGAAGGCAAATAAATTCGTATAGAATTCATGTTTTAAGGAAACATTACGTATTTATTAATGAGAATATTAAAACGTCATTTAATTTGTTTTTTTTTTCGAGGCTTTTTTTAATGCGATTTGTATGCAAATTTTCTAAGTAATCTTCAAATAAGTAATAATAGTTTTTTCGTGTGCAAGCATATCTATTGTGTGGGTTTTTTTTCGAACTTAAAAGTAATTAAAAATTTTTAATATTTACAATTTATTAAGTTACACGAAAATCGTGTATTGGAATAAATTAGTTTAACTGATCTTTAACTTTTCAATAAAAATTATTTAAATTGCTGGTTAGAACTTTTAAGAAAAAAAAAATGAAATTTAAATATGAAATACTTTTATTCAAGATTTTACTATTAAAATGCAAAACGGTAGAACTAATCAGTCAATTTGTCAGTAAATCTTACCTAGTTCTACAATTGTCACACTTTATATAAATTTATACCAACATTATTATTATTCTCCCTACTTTTTTCAAATAATTTTAATTGAAAAAGTTATCTTACTTTCACAGTTTAGTATTTGTGTATTTCTTTTGTCACTCAGTATGGTTCATGCTAATTTCCATAATGAAATGCTAATTTAAACAAATATTAATTTGCAAAAGAAAAAAAAAAAAATAAAAAACACCTGGTCACTCAATTATAAGCGTGTGTTTTCCTTCTTCCACACGAATTTGTATTTTTCCAAAAGGTGCAAAATTAATTTTACAAAAATCGTAGCAATTTCACTGAACATTTGTTTTATTTTATGGGAAATTTTCTTGTTTTTTGTTCGATTTTACAATATAAACAAACCAAATTTAAAACAATAAAGAAATTATACTCGGACATGGCCGATCATGAGATGCCCTACAACAACAATATGATCAATAATGGACTAAAAGAGTACAACGATCAACATTTTTAAAGGTACGTTCACACCTATCAAATATTTTTCGAAAAAGACGTAACCAATATTTTTTGTAAATATTTGATTGATCTTACAAGACCTTTGTATGTATATCGAATTAAGTAATAAAGACGATCAAATCTGATAAGTCCTAAGACACATTATAAATTAATTTCGAATGTAACAGATTACTAGTTAGAATTAGAGCAAATTTTCGTTCTTTTAAAGATTGTCCATAAATGGATATAAACAATTTTCTGATTAATGCTCTAATTTAATAACATCCGGTAAATTTATCTGAATTGCGGAAATTGGTATGGGGCTTTTATCACCGGTTCATCCATATTTCAATACTTAGTGAAGTTTGATTTATGGACAATTTCGACATGTTATTATTGTTCTCGCAATGAAAAAATCAAGTTTAACCTAATTTTATATATGAACCGACAGGTTCAATAAAATCGTTGAAAATAATTTTTAACATTGCAAACATCATCATAGATGTACAGTATTCCCCTTACCTATTGTTTTAGTGTAGGGTGTACAAAAATTGTTTAGATTAAAATCCAAATAAATATTTGCAAATTGTTCGCATCACTATAAGCAAGTAATTATTCAAATTCATATTGATATTGAAATTGATAAATATAGAATCGTTTCAAATATGTTTTAATTTTGCACCGACATTTAATTTTCAATAAACAACAGTGTGAAAAAGCAAATTAAAAGTGATGAATACGTGATACAAACGTACAGCAGAAGTGTGCATACCGCAACTGACTGATGGAGTACGTGCGATAAAGAGCTGTTAATGAATGTATTCTTTGTTAAAGAAATGTGTTTTATCTGATTGCTTTAATAAATCTTTTCATTTCTGGTAAAAAATTGTTCAGTGTTTGGACTTTTACCGGAAAAAATTACAGTTTGAGAGAGCCAACATAAGTAAGAGGTATGATGTATATTGATATCTCCATTTTCTAAAAATTTCGAAATTGATTTGTCTAGAAATTTCAATTAACATTTTTTATATTTCATCTAATTCTTTGTTCAAAGTTAATAAGAAAACATATGTATAAATTAGTTTATTTAAAAAATTACAAAAGCGTAGATTGCTACCTTTGTTTCTATACCTTTGCTATACTTGCTTGTTGAACATAATTGTTTTCTTTACATTCTTTAATATCTCTGTTGGTTATGGAAATATGTATGTTTTAAATTGTTAATGATTTTTTTGTTTATATGAATTATCGTACAAATTTAAGACATTTTGTTTTCGCTTTTAAAATAATGTTTAAATTATTTCTATTGCATAGTTATTTGAATTTAATTTATTGAACCAAATGCATCAAATTCATTGACACTTAGTTCATTTTTGCATACGAGTATTTTTTGCAATATTCCATATTCTTTTGTTTAGATTTTGTTTATGTTGATTTTAATGGAAATCAGACAATGAAATGGAAAGGTAAAAAACTCACCTTAAAGAAAAATGCTTTCAACATTTCAACAACTTTTTCTGAATCTTCGGGTTTAACACATTCCACTGTGTAAGGTAAATCATCAGATTTAGGTACTTGTGTGGTGGTGGTGGCCGTGGAGGAAACATTTAAAACACTGTCCATTTTTTGGGTAAGTCTCGCAATTGGATATAAATCCGAAAGCTGAAAAAGAAGAAAATGAAATATATGAATGTTTAGCTTTTGATTTTGAAATTTTTATAAAAGTTACTGAAAGAATTGAGGAAAACGTGAACATTCTATATTCTAGTCTATAATCTGGTCTGGTCTAGTCTATATTGTAGTCTATATTATAGTCTATAGTCTAGTCTATATTATAGTCTATATTATAGTCTATAGTCTAGTCTATAGTCTAGTCTATAGTCTAGTCTATAGTCTAGTCTATAGTCTAGTCTATAGTCTAGTCTATAGTCTAGTCTATAGTCTAGTCTAAAGTCTAGTCTATAGTCTGGTCTATAGTCTAGTCTATAGTCTAGTTTATAGTCTAGTCTATAGTCTAGTCTATAGTCTAGTCTATAGTCTAGTCTATAGTCTAGTCTATAGTCTAGTCTATAGTCTAGTCTATAGTCTAGTCTAGTCTATAGTCTAGTCTATAGTCTAGTCTAGTCTATAGTCTAGTCTATAGTCTAGTCTATAGTCTAGTCTATAGTCTAGTCTATAGTCTAGTCTTATAGTCTAGTCTCTAGTCTAGTCTATAGTCTAGTCTATATATAATTTATAAAATTCTCAATTCCTAGTCGGTTTAAAACGTCAAACTTGTACACAATGAAATAGTACAAAAATATGTATTCCAATTTATAACAGAGCATAATAAATACCATCCTAATGTTTACATACATGTCAATGTGAAAACTTTTTTCAATTTATTAGTAAATATTATTTGTTTTGACTTTTCTTTATTTTTTCCGGAAATTGTATTTATGTTTGTTGTGTTCTAAGAACATGAATATACACATTTTTCTGTAATTTTATTTATACTATAGACGATTACTACAAACTCACAAAGATTCCAAATCGAAAAAACATATTTTTCTTTGGGAAAATGTTATTTTGATTAAGTGACTTTTTTATTAAATTGGCCTCTATTTCTGGTTAATACTTAATTTTCAGTTGAAACATTTAATATGTATATGTTTAAAATTAAATTGTTTTTCCGCAAATATCTTTTGTATTGTAAAGTTCAGAGACCCTTAAAAATGCTTTAAAATTTCAAAATAGAATGTAGATTATATCACAGGACATATTTGAAATGTATTCGTTTGATATTTGCATAAAAAGTATTTATATACACATTATATGTATAATTTAAAAGTAACTTCAAATAAATTAAGATTATCTGTTGCATTTTATGAACTAACCCAGGAAGTAATAGTAAAACAATTGTATAACGTCTACATACTAATTGCATTTAATATAATTCTTCAAACATTTTAACTGCATATATTGTCACATTCTAAAATCTAATAAAATTGAAATTGTAAATTTAATTTCAATTTTATTATCATTTTGAAATATGTACATAAAGCAAATCAGATGTATTATATTTTAAACAAAGTAATTGTAATTTGTATTCAACTGCAAAAAATATTGTTTGTTACTTAAAAAACAATAAGTATCTGGTTTTTGACGAACACGTTTGTATATTGTTTTTGTCAAAATTTTAATTACGGGTCTTTAACTTTTTGAGTTATTGGCAATTTAGGGAACAAAAAATAAAATCGAACATTTAGAAAAATGTGACTAATGCATCGTTATCGTATTTGCATGATTTACAGGTTTTAGTCGGAATTTGTAATAAACAAATTTTGAATACGGGAATGTTATCTTCTAAACTATGAGTAATAGGTTCAAATCTGACTAATAGAGAATAAAATATATATAATTTGGAAAAGTGAATTACATGTAATTAAGAAAATTGTGAAATCTTCGTTATTTTCTTATATATGGAATCAAAGGAATAAAATAATTGTAAAATAAATTAGGAATATATTTAGGATGTTATAAATAGGGTTCTTTAAATTTCGAGTTTTCTTTCGAGTAATCCAATTTTTGTCGAAAAAGTTGAATATTTTGTTCAGAAAAGTCGGTAAATCTAAAATAAGTTCAAAAGTATTCTTATTTCTCGAAATATATATAGCGTTATTTAAAGATAGTTTTTTGGGGTTTTTTAAAATTTGCAATTGTTTGCAAGGATTTAAGGGGTTAATTATGATTATTTTTCACATATTTTTTACTATAAATTTTTGTCATTTTTTATTAAATAAGGGGAATAAATAACTCATATTTTGATATGGTTTAAAGATAACACCCAAATATTGCAAAATTTGACATTTAAGCTCCACAGTTTATGGGTTAAGATTGACTGAAATTATTAAAACTTCGGGGATATAAATTATATTATCTGAATTACATTATTGCGAAAATATATTATGACATATTCTCTAAAATATTACAAGAACTGAATAGACGCAATGGGGTTTCCTCCTAGGATTTTTTCTCAGAGACAAAACTACTTACTTAATGAATTAAAATGCTATTGTGTAAGTAAATTTTAGCATTTTAGTCTCTTACTTTTCAAAGTAAGATTTTGCTATGTAATTTTTTTTGTCATATAAACCGCGTTATATGAGGGCAGTTTGTACCTTAATTTAGAAAGTTTTTTTTCCTTCCTCAATAAATTATTCTAAAACATATGACTTTTTCTTTTAATTTTAATGTGTTGTTTATGAACAAAACATAATTCATTAATAATTTTGAACGAAATAGCACATGTTTAAAAATTAAACATTTCTAAAAACACGACAATTTTCTAAGAAAAAACCTAATAAAATTTATTTTATATCACAAGAACCAAAGAAAAAAACCACAGACACTTTTTAATGTGGGACATTATCCACTTACCGTATATCTCTTTTCGATCATAATCGCATCATTATCAGCAAATGTGCGATTATTTTTTAGCATTTGTGGAAGATTTTCAATTTCCATGATTGAAGCTGGCGGTGTGTTGTCTTATTAATGAAGGAAAACTGGCAAACAATTTTTCACGGTAATAAATTTGTATTAAAAATTTAATTAGAGCACTTAGTTTGGTTTAAAATACACCAACCAGATGAGAAAATTTTTAAAAAATAATAATAAAAAACGATCAGAAAGTGTGGTAATGGCAAAATATCAAC